CACTGATTAGCAACATTCATATATTTATTAAGTTTTTTTTTAATGATAATGAGTAATATGATAATGTCATATTAAGCTGAAAAATATGATTTTATTAAATTAAATTAATAAACTCTGTTCTTGTTTGATAAACTGTCTTTATCACTTCAGTATGATTATTTTATTTTATTTGAAATATAATTATATAATTTTAATTTATTATTGCTTCCGTTTTGTATTACAATTTAATTTAAATATATTTAAAATGTAATATTTTACAGTCGTTTATATTTTATATTCAAAAATTTTTATTTTAATTTTTTAAAAATATAATGATAAAACATTATCTAAATTAAACTTAAAATCGTATATTTTCATTTATATTTATTTTTATATTACATGTATTTATTCAGATACGTTATATATATATATATAGTTTTCAAGGTCTATATATAGAATTGAATATTCATCATCACTGGTCAGTCAGTATAAGATTCATAAAAGTTAAACGCTTGAAAACATATATAAATAGACAAATGTTTACCCGCTTTTTAATAATAAGTTAGGATATGGTAATAGCTTTGCATACTTGACTCTATTTAATAGTTTTTGTAAATGCAAAATTAATCAATTGAATTGTCGATTTGAACATTTTTATTGTGTAAGTTAGTTTTATAATACTTTATAAAAAATAAAGTTAATAAGTAGTTTATTATTCTATTTTATTTTAATAAATGGGTTATTTTATATTTTATCAAATTTAAGATCACATAATTATAAATATGTAAATTATATAAAATTTAATATATGTATAATTATAAATATTATATAAAATGAAATAGGAATAGATTTATCAGTTTTGTATTATATACAATATATTAAATAATGTTAGTGTATAAATATATTTAGATTATTATATATATATACACACATGTATAAATGAAATATTATAAATATTAGTTAAACGAAAATCATAATAATCTAACATGCCTTGGAATCTCTACGTTACTAAATTTATTTAATTTTTTACACTTTTCAGACAGGTAATGGCTAAGTATAATAAGATAATTCAATTTTTAAATCTCGACTCATATATAAATAGAATAGAATTAAAATATTTGAAATGTATAAAATATATTAATTTATTTCAACAAACAAGCTGAAAAAACATAAGTTTACTGTGATGAATATTTTAAAAATAGTTTTTATTGCTAAACAACAATTTTATCATTTCTCGTTAAACACATAAGAATGTTTTCCAACTTTTCCGGGACAAATATCTTTCAAGACCTTAAAATTACAGACGGAATTCTAATCAAGTTAGTGAAATTTAATTAAATTGCCTCTTATTTTATTGCATTCCATTGTAATGCAAGTAAATTAAGTATTTTCTCCTCTACATTTTTTACGTAAAAATTATTTGTTAGTAGCACATGTATATTACTAAGTAACATTAGGGATGGCAGTGGGTAGGGTACTACAGTACCCATTCCCATACCCACGTTTTAAAAAAATACCCGTACCCGGCCCCATACCTGAGTGGGTATGAACATTAATCCCCGTACTCGTACCCTCTGGGTACCCGCATACCCGTCTTGTACCCATTACTCGCGTTTGTTTGAGAAAAAAATATTTATAAAGAAAAATATGTTTATATAATTTCACATAAGTAGCATAATAATACAAAAATTTAATATGTAGTTGTCGAATAAGGTACAAATATAGATAAAAACTAAATATTCAAAGATCATAAATGTTAAATGTATCTCAATATGATAATTTTCTAAACTAAAATTCTTAGAAACAATAAGCAAAATTAAACACACAAGTTATTTGTCAGTGATAATCCTATTTTGTGTGAGATTTGATTGATTGGTAATGTCAGAACGACAACGAAATAGATCTGTACAATGGTTGTCCCTTCGTGTAGGATTACTTAGTAACATTTTGTGACGGCATTAATAACTAACTCTAATGAATAACATTTCATAGTTATTAAGTTTTAGTGAGACAAACATTAAGAATGAGAATAAAGTTAAAGTAGAGAAGTCAATACTAACAATAGAAAGTTGATACATAAAATATTTTTTTTAACTTTTGAATTTGAAATTGTAAGAAAAATAATAGATTTAATTAAAATAACATAATATATATATATATATATATATAAATTAATACTAATATTTTTTAACTCATATACTATACGAAAGTATTTTATCAAAAATATAAATTTTTGAAAAATTATTTTAGTGAATTAAATATTTATAATGTATATAAATTAAAAAAAAAGAATTTAAATAAAAGATAAATAGTTACAATAAAATTTTATAATAAAGAAATATACGTGTATATTAAAAAAATATACTTTTTTATCTTAAAAAATTAACAAATAAAAATTAACAATAATTTATTATATTTATATCTTTTCAAAAACTTATTTGAATGTGAATAAATAGTAAGAATAATATTATTTAGATTCAATAGATTATAGTTGTGCTTGTAATACATATGTTGCATAGAAAAATATTATTTTAAATTAAAATATAAAAATAAAATTTAAATATTATTAATAAATAATAAGTTTACGGTAATAGTAGGTGATTGTAAAATTTATAAAATATTTATAATGTATTTATTATTTATCATTCACTTTATGATTTAAACATCAATATGATTTTATTAACAAAAATATTTATGTAAAAAATATTTTATGTGTGTCATATATAAATAATATTTTAAAAAAAGTCAATCTCATATTAACTATGTAATAATTAAATTGTGTTAACCTAATTAAATGATATAAAATAGTAAATAAATTTTTCTATTAAAAATATAAACCAAAATAAATTTTTTGGTTTACTTTATTGTTAAATATATTTTTATATTAATCTTATATAACTTCACATAAGTAATATAATAATACAAAAATTCAATTCATAATTGTAGAATAAAATTCAAACATATATATATATATATATGTATGCAGGTATGGAGCCGGGTGGATACTTAGATACCCATACCTGCATCTATCCCCATTAAAATTTGTGAGTTTTTACCCACACTCATACCGTACCCGTATAGCAGGTAAATACACTACCCATTGTAGGTAAATTTTACGGGTGCACATCGAGTACTTTACCTATTGTCATCCATAAGTAACAATTAAACCAAGCAATCGTGTTATGAAAAATAATTTTGAAAAATAGTCAAACACTCCCTGGCAAAAACACGTCAGCGAAAAAGTTTGCTTATATTTAAGCAGTGATAAACCAGTATTCATTTGATGCATTTGCGCGTTATAATTACAATCCTTTAAAATTGTCACCAAACAAGTTAAGAAAAATTTAGTAATTAAACATGATCAAGAAGATTTAATTAAGTTATTAAATTTGATTAATTTTGATTCGTACATCTATAAGTTTAAGTTTACCGGTTTTCAAACTAATCAATCCGAAACTCTCTCTGTCTATCTCGTTCTTATATACAATACAACATTATTTTGTTTAAGTGGATGATTATTTGAACTAGTGGATCTAAACGTCTGTTCTTTTTTAAAAATACAATATTTAATTATCGTGCAGAAAAAAATAATTATATTTATAAAAATTAATAACATACTTTTCAATATATATATATATATATATGTATATATATATAGTCATTTAAAAATATTTATTTAATTGTAAATTTAATTAAAATATAATGATAAAATAATTTTTAAGATTATCATCTACTCACAAATCACTATAACAGTAAAAATAAAATAAAATTCAAGTTTGTAATTATAAAATAAGGATATAACTATACTTACATAATGTAAACAATTATTACGATTATGATAATTAAATGTTATCAAAAGTTACATAAAATAATTATAATATTTTATTACATTATACCCCATACATATACCTATATTATTTTGATTATATTTATGTATATAGTAGTTGAAGAGAGAAGGATGTGATGATGAAAATAAAATTATGACCAAAATTATGAACCAATTTTATAATTTAAGATCAAAGTAATATAAATTTTTAATATACATATATCATATTAAAAGAATATATAGTTGGTATTGCTAATAATTAAATTATTTTACATATTATAAATCCATACCAACATATAATTATTAATTGGTTATAGAGAAATTTTTAAAAATAAATTATTAAATTTTTATATTCTATAATATAATAATAATTATTATTATTATCATTATATATATAATGAAATATTATTTTGATTATTGACTTAATAAAACATTTTTATATCATAATAATTATTTTATTAATTTATTTTATAATGTTATAACTACAGTGTAATTTTATAATAATTTTTATAGTTACATTTATGATAATTTAGCAATAATTGAAGAAAAAAAGAAAAAAGTTAAAATTAAAATTAGAAATGAAAATAGGGATAAAAATTACTTTAAAATTTTCTAAATGAAATAAATTAATTTTAGATGGAGTTGTTTCAGTTTAGATTGGATAATTTTTCATACTCATTCTGAAAAATATTAATAAAATTGTATACTGAGATATAGTATGAAGTTGTTTGGACATTAGAAACTGCTTAGTACGGCAACGGCTAAGCTATGAAGGCTTTGGCAGAAAGATGGGAGGCGATAGAAAAGTAAGGAAAAGAAATTAAAGTAGTGACAGGTGTTGGAAGAAGGATTTTGCCGTATCAAGCATCATCAATAAATTCAAATTCAAAAGTCTTTTATGACAGCACGGACCTTCTATATCACCGCTGCTAGATAGCCACTAATAATAATAACACTCCTTTCGGGAATCACCACCATACACGTGGCGCTTCAGCTTGACTCAATTTAAGTAAGTCAAGCCGCACATGAATGAGATCGTGGCAATCAGAAAGGCTGCATCATCATTCTCCATGTATATGCGGTGTAGGTTAGCATTATCTTGGGGTGCGGATGAATGCTACGTGCGAAGGTGTTGATGTGTGATTTGTGGATGCATAGGATGTAATGATGTGGAAAGAATACGATTCGACTTCTCATGAATATAAGTGTCGGGTGTTTGTGTATGGGGAGTTTCCACTCTCCTCGCGGTGCTTTCATCAATAGACTGGTACAAAGGAGGGAGAGAGAGAGAGGGAGAGAGAGAGAGAGAGTGAGTGATGAGGACGGAGATGAAGGATGGAAGTACTCGTGTTATGGTGAGGGGTAATGGTAATTCTGGGGAAGTCTCAATCTCTAAGTTCTCACACCTTTTAGCTTCCAAAGATCGTGATTACCTACTCTCTCCCACGGGGGTTCAGGTTCCTTATCTCTCTCTCCCTACTGTCTCATCTATCTTTGGTTAATTAGTAGCTGAAAACAAAAAGTATGAAGTATGCTCCTACGGTTCTATTTCTATTGTTTAGTTCGTGTTTTGTCTTAGATTGTGGTCACTGGTCCGACCCCTCTTTCATCCTATATATATTATTTTGATCTTTATATGATTCCAAATTTTTGTGCTTGGTATATCTTGGTCAGACTTGCTTATGGCCGTCCAAATTTTTTGTATTTAGCCGGAAAAACAACAATAGCTTCCTTAGAAAGTAAGCGATGATGACCAGGAAACAATTTGCAGATGATGTATGATTGATATGAATCTTAGTTTGTTTAATTACCCTTCAGCTCTCCTTTGTTTGAAGCTCTTTGCTGTGGCTTCTGGTGTAGTTTTGGTTCGGTAACGTCTTGCAGTTTTTTTTGTTTGGAATTATTATTTTTCTTTAAAAAGAAAAAGAAAAAGAAAAAACCTTGTTTGGTTGGTTGCTGTGCAGTAGCCGGTAGCAGGTGACCTTATCATGTTCAATCGCGTTTGGTAAATTCCAAAAAAAAAAGAGAATGTCATTATTAATTGTTCTTGTCCTCAATTTTTCATCATTTTCATATATCTTTAGGCAGATGTTTTGTTGAGCCAATCTTGGTCGGAGTGAATACCCATAATTTTGTCAGTTGGGTTTCCCGGAGAGATTTTGGGTACCAAATTTCTAGATTTATGAATTTATCCGTTATATGTATTAGAAGCATTTGCAACGCCAAAATTTATGATGAGGATTGAAGCTAACTCTAGCGCAGCCTATCTTCCACCTTAAAAATTATATTCTAGGGTTTAAAAACCATCAGTTTAAACTTATTTAAAGAATTCGACTCCCCAATTTCAGAAAAACTAGCTCTGGTTATGATCTCTAGTCAACAGCAAACGTGCATGTAAAATATGTATATATTTTATGCTTTCGTATCTTAATTGGATGGATAAAATTACCTAACAGCAGATGAGAATCCGACCCGTCTGAATCCTTTATCACCCAAATAAACGGGGGAGCTACTAGCTAGCAAGGTAGGGTATAAGTAAACTGTGAGAGAAGCAAGGTTATGCTGTGCTGTCTAATGGGGGCTTGTCCTCTACATGCTTTTTAGGCAGTGATATATTCCTTTACTCTTTAGTTTTGTGAAACCATTCCGGACAAACTAAGCTTACGATTTTGATTAGTCATTTATTATTTGATCTAAAGTCGAATAAAAATCATTTTAATAAAATAGTTGTGTAATTAAATATAATTAAAATTACTATATAAATTAATCTGAAATATGTATTTTTATTGCAAAAAATATATATATATTTTTAAGTTTTTATCGAAACAAACGTTTAGACTAATTAGTGAACCACCCCATGTACTGAACATAATTGCCTTCATTAATTTTGTTGATGAAGAAAGGTGGTTAATTGCCCAGCATTTAAGATAATGTACTGGTCTATACTCTTTAGACACCTACATGATTGTACAAAACCATTTCGCTTATTTTAAAAGTGAATACTGGATTGAGGATGAAGATGAAGGGTGATGATATTATTGTTAGCCATGTAGTTACTTGATTAGTAAGATCATAGATGCCGAGCATTCACGAGCTACACATGCCCAATTTTTGTAGTCCCATTCAGTGTGTCGTGGAGGACCAAGCATTCTAATCGAAGGACAAGTGTCACCTAAACAATTTCCTATAGCTTAGTCCTAGCTATGACGCTTTGAGTTGTACAGGTGGCCCATTATTTCCCACAAAAAAAACCAGTGGGCCATTTCGGTGGCCCATCACTTTCACGATTTCGGATAGCACTGGATTCTCTTCTGTTCTTAGTACCCCTACTTTTATATCATTATGTGCTTCTTTGTCTGTGTGATTCAACTCGTCCAACTTCTTTTGAGTATGCCTGAATTCTGAATAAGAGGAGGTAACACAATTTTTAATATATATTTTATTATTGGATAAATTTTATGTGGATTTGACTAAGATCAATTTCAAATTATTTAGTAAAATTCGCCTAAATTTTATCAATAATTAAAGGTGTTTTGATGAATGAGTCAAGGGAAATGTGTTACGAACCTTCTTCTAAGTAGTACTGAATCTTGAACTTAAATGTATCTCATTTTTAAGGGAGAAACGAGTCTCTCTCTCTCTGTCTCTCTGTCTCTGTCTCTCTCTCTCTCTCTATATATATATATATATCATCCCCCCTCTCCCCCAACCCGCATGTCACCTTTACTCTATGGGTCTTGACGTTTTTCCCCCGTATGAAGCCATCATTATTATTTGCAATTTTGTAATTTGACCCTTGAGAAGCATGGACATCTGCTGGAAAGGCACCTTACCGGTGTTTGGCACGGTTATGACTCTGGTATGCCAGTGACACGTACGAATTCGTATCCACGTGATGTCCTTATTTGTTTGTTCTTTCAAAGAATTTTCGTCCGAGGCATATGGCGGGGTTTAGGCGTATTTAATATAAAATTTAGTGTGTTTGACTCAAGTTTTTCAGAGAAATGTTCAGTGATATAAGCGCTACTTAAAAACACCTTTGGATTTTACATGGTAGTTCAAGTCAATACATTATTATTGTTGGATTTTTACTGTGATATCTTAAAATTGTATATTTGTTATCTTATTTAAGGTTTTAGGTCCGTTCACATATATAAAGTTTAGGTTCATGAATCTATATAAAGATGAGATGAGTCTTGTTTAAAAGATTTTATAATACAGAATATTTTTTTTTAACAAAATTTAGGTGAAATATTCAATAAATGTCTTAAAAATATTTAAGTAAATAGGACAAATTTGTGAACTTTAACATGGTACGACCCATTTTTACCCTAACTGTGTGCCACATCTAGCTACAAGAGCAACTTGAACCACGCTCGGGACTGCGATGCGGGTATTGCCTGTGCAGAAATGCCTCGAGATATTTTGCTGCTTTTGTTAATCAAATGGTAGAGGTGAAATTTTTCGCAGACGATATTGCAAAAGTGGATAATATTATTTAAAGAATTACAAATTTATAGTTTTGATTTTTATCATTATAATTTTGTAAGTTTAAGATTTGGTCCATCGATTTTCTTTTGATATTGATTCTCATTTTTTTGTTTAGTTTTTGGTCTTTCTAATATATTAGAGACTGGTGGAAATTATTTTACCTTGTTGGACACATGCTTTAACATATTGTTATCAGTAATAAGGATTAATATTAATTTTTTTAAAATTTTGCCGATCAAAAGTGAGATTTTTCATAATATCGACTTAGACTTAAATTAAAATTGCTCATAAATAATATATCTATATCTTGTGTGTTGTGTCCGTGTTTTTCTTCGTATTGATAACTCTATTTTGCTCATAAATACAATATTTTGTAGCGTGAAATATTAATTTCTTTTTTGAAATTGACATTATCAATTAATTTGATTATCAAGTTTATAAAAAAAAAATAGTTTCTTTACTTGAACTTTGTTATGTCTTCTTATTATGCATCTTTTTAATTATTTTCTTATTATTTTATAAAATAAATGTATAAGTTAAATTGACCAAAGATATTAATTTTTAGGAATTTAATTGTTCGAAGGTTATCAAAATTAGACATTTAAGATTTTTTTAAGAATATCATTTTGACAGATAGTTAATATTTTACTCTGCTGAATGGCAGCTTGGCTTGATAAAATATTCAAAACAATTAGTTTGCAATGACAAATACAGATATAGACGAGAGTAGAAAAAAACAGGATTCTATGGGATAATAATAGCGGTAAAAGTTAAGCTTCTTATTGTGATAATTGCTATGCTATTGAGTAGTAGTTGTAATTCGGGGATGCAGGTTCATGTTTCTGATCTTCGAGGGAAAGTAGTTGGTCTCTTATTCGCTGCTAACTGGTACCCCCCATGCCGTGGATTCACCCAACTATTAGTTGGAATCTACGAGGAGCTCAGAAACAGTGTCCCTCAAATTGAGATTGTCTATGTGTCTTCGGATGAGGACTTAAATGCCTTTAATAGCTTCTATGGAAACATGCCGTGGCTTGCAATTCCGTTCTCTGATTTGGAAACAAAGAAAGCATTGAACAGAAAGTATGACGTGGAAGGCATTCCGTGCTTAATTTTTTTGCAACCTGACGACAATAAAGAGGACGGAACAGTTCGTGATGGGGTCGAACTTATTTATCGCTATGGAATCCAAGCCTATCCATTCAGTAAAGAGAGGTTGGAGCAGCTGCAAAAGGAAGACAAAGCAAAGCTTGAAAATCAGAACCTCACTAATTTATTAGCAAACCGCGACCGTGATTATGTTTTAAGTCACGCGCCACTCAAACAGGTAAATCGCTCGACCTTTGTCTCATTCGCTTGCATGCTACTGTTTTCCACGTTTGCTAATTGTTACAGCAATGATTTGTTATTCAGCGGTAAAATATTATTAAATTTAAGAGAATGCGTTTTGTAAAATAAAGATGGTAGTGATTATTGATTAATGATGAGTTTGGATATATGATTTAAAATGCTTGTTTAGTATTTTTTTTTTCAGATAATTTATATGATACATTTAATATATAAATTTATAAGAATAAATTATAGAATTTATAAAAATCACAATTTATTTTCATAAATTCTTTCGAGCGAAACATTTTTATCGATTTATATTCCACATTTACTATATATCATCATTAAATATTTTAAAAATAATTCTCATTAAATAATATTCAATAATTAATATCTTTATTAATTATTGCTAAATATTAAATAAATTTTAATATATGCATCCTTATGCAAAATACATATTTTTTTTCATAAGCATTTCTTCATGAATATGAAAAATTATTAATAAATAAAAATTAAATATTTGAATCATTCAATACATACAAATAATTAATCAAATGCAAAAGTCATTATAATATTTTTGTGCAAATTTTTTTTTAATATATATACAATTGCGGAAAAGTAAATTGTTGTGTTACTTAATGTATTTTATATAAATTAATTGAAATAGAATGCTATTGTAATTAAATTTTTGTATTATATGTCGTATAATCACAAATTGTTTTGCAGTTGAAAATATTTTATTTTTATAATAATTACTTTAAAAGTTATTTTTAGAAATTATTTTAATTAATTGACAGTCTAATTTTTTTTAACATAGATAACATAAAAAAAATTCTTTATGGACGTCATTATATTTATGTAAATATAATTTAACAAGGGTTTATTTGGATGGTAATCTAGTTTAATGCTTATTCTATTTGCAGAAGGAATTTATGCTATAAATTTGATCATAATATTTATTAATATAAGTATAAAAAACTTAAAAATTGTTATTTTCATAACCTCTGTTATTTTTATAAACTATTTCATACACACCGTAAATAATTTAGAAAGTACTATTCGTAGAATAAGTGAATGACTACGTAGAATATGTTGATTAATTAAGATAATCAGTTTAACTGTGTCATTAATGAGATGCTATAAAACAAATAAATCAATTTATACTAAAAAATGAAGTTTTTTTTTTATGTTTAGAAGCTATAAAAGAGAGGAATGAATAATCTTTATTGATTGGTTTAACGATGATTTATTTTGTCATTATTAAGTGTTTTTTAGCAAGATGAGTCACCGGTCATTAATATAATAGGACTTGAGTTATAATGACAAGATGTCAAAGTTTAAAATTTCGTTACAGAAATGTCACAATGCATCTTATGATAGTTATTGCGATAATTGATCATTATCTTCATAATCAACAAGTTTTCTTGTAGTGACCGGTGTTGCTCCGTTACAGGTGCCTGTTGCTTCCCTAGTGGGTAAAACTATTGGACTCTACTTCTCAGCCGAATGGTGTGGCCCATGCGGCAAGTTCACTCCCAAACTGATTTCCGTTTATCAAAAGATAAGGCAAGAGCTAGCTGAAAAAGGAGAGGAGGACTTTGAGATTGTGTTGATATCCAGTGACCGGGACCAAGCTTCTTTTGACTCCTACTACAATAGCATGCCTTGGTTAGCATTGCCTTTTGGTGACCCAGAGATCAAAAACCTTGCTAGACACTTTAATGTACAAGGAATTCCTTGCCTGGTAATTATAGGCCCTGATGGTAAAACAATAACCATACATGGTAGGAACTTAATAAACCTGTACCAAGAAAATGCCTACCCTTTTACCGATGCCAAAGTGGAGCAATTAGAGAAACAACTAGAAGAGGAGGCTAAGGGCCTTCCTACATTGGTGTATCATGAAGGGCATCGCCATCATCTTAATTTGGTGTCAGATGGCAACGGAGGAGGTCCCTTTATATGTTGTGTTTGTGATGAACAAGGGTCCAGTTGGGCCTACCAGTGTCTCCAGTGTGGCTATGAAGTGCACCCAAAGTGTGTCAGAACTGTGGAACGTGACAATATCTCGGTGGCTAGGTGATGACGTTTCTGGCTTTTCCCGTTAAACTCTACTTATGGGGATTAGCTTCCTATGCCAATTAATTGAATGTTAGTAGCCCTTGAGTTGTTTATCCTAATCTAAGACTCGGCGGGGGCTGGAATGCTGTTTGGAATTAATTAGATTAATTACATAACTTTGTGGTTGAATATCTTCTTGTTGCTATTATGTGACTGAAAGAAAAGGACAGTGATAAAGGGAAAGGAGACACGGAAATTACTTGTGAGCTCCTTTATGATGTCATTGATGTGTGGAAATTTGATAAACACAGTAAAGAAAGAGATTTTAATTTAGAATTAATTTTGTTTAAGAGTGAGTCATTGGTTGTCTATTAAGGTTTTATTAACGAAAAGTATAGTATCTATTAAAAATATGAAATTTAAATTAGTTTATACTTGTGTTTAATTGTATTTAATAATCTAAATTTATTTCAATTTAACTTAAAATTAAACTAACATTACTATTTGTTGGAGAAAAAGGTTATCCAACAATATGGCAAAGGTAATATGTTTTTCTGTCGTTAAGGAAATTTCAATTTTAGACACAACAACCGGAGTTTTATACTTCCCTGGATTTGAAGAAGAATATGCTATTTATTTACTATCACGTTTGAAAAAGGAATAAAATGTTGCTAGCTAAGAATTGTCTTTAAATGATTAATTAAAAGAAACTTTAATTATTTAATTATTTTAAAGCAAAAAAGTTCATTAGATATTGTACATTTTATTTAATATTTTTTATTGTAAATTTTTATAAAGAGACGTTTAATACTAAAGTAAGTAATTTTATTTTAATATTTGGATTAATATTTATAGCAGACACTCTATATAATTATAATATATCTATTTTTTAATTTATATAAAATATTTAGTATAAACACTCAAATCAAGTGTTAAAATAGTATTTTCTGATAAAATATCATTCATACACAATAAAATTGAATCATAACATTGTATTTTAAAAAATGTTGAGATTAATTTTCATTGTTAGGAGTTACGTTAACTTTTATATTATAAATCATTTTATATAAAATATAATTATTATCTATTCAATTATTGAATTGTATTTAAATATTATATAAATTATTGATATTAAATTTTGTTAAAATTAAATAATTATGAAAATATAAGTAAATTTTATTTTTTCTATTTTTTAAATTTTATATCTTGTTAATTTTAATGTATTTAAATTATCTAATAATTTTTAAATTTTAATTCAATAATTAGTTTTAATATAGAATAATATTCAATAAAAAATATTAAACAGTGTAAGAATAATATAACCCATGCAGCCGTAAGTTGGTCGCTTCTCTTTATTAATTATAAATAATCATTAATCATAAATATTGGTGTCGATAAAAATAAAACTTATTTTTTAATATATTTATAGATATATTAATAAATAATAAATAGTATTTTTAAATGTTATAATATTTAATATGGTTATATTAAATTCTATATTTTTTAAAATAATAGTATATAGAAAATTTTATTATGTATAGTTTTTCTATTAATTTTTATTATATATTTAATGACATACAATAAAAATAATAAAATAAAAAGAAAGAAGAAAGTCGGTATGAAATAAGTCGGTGAGGCAATTTGAATTGGTACAAGGGAGATTATTATTTGGCTATATATTTAGCTCTCACCTTTACTCGACTTCTAAAGTATTCCCTCCTATAACTGGCTTCTTGATTTCTGACGTATGGTTTCACCATTGATGCGATTGATCTTGCATTTTCACTTCCGAGAAATACCATATAAATTGTTTTGGAGATATCTCGCCTATTCTCTGTTTTGGTTCTGGGATACAGAAGAAATGGATCAAATGAGCCTTGACCGAATCGGGTTGACGTTGGTTGAGCAATTTCGAATTCGCATTGTGCTCAAATGCATGTGTTGAAATCACTTTGCGATGGTGAGAGGGAATTGAAATTGTTAAATAAATTGTGAGTTTCTTTTATTTATAATGAATTTTTAAATAACAATGTTTCTTGATTTTTGGGTCTAAAATATGAATCTTTTTCAAGATGATGCAAACATTTGCTGGTGTTCTTGAAGTTCAAATGCCTTAGGATGAATATTAGTAACTCCAGAGTTCACCTGTACAAAGCTCCCATGCCACTCTTGAGAGATGAAATTCAATTTCTAAAAGTTATAAATGATTCCTCCAGTTTATCCTCCAAAAAACTAGATTCCTCACGAAATTCTACATATACCTTCAACTGCTTTGGCCTTGACTCATGGTCCAAGAAACTTTCAAACTCAACCATCTCAATTCTCGTAGCACCATTAAGTGCAAGCTGAAATTAAGAGCATGTTTAATTTGTCTTTTAAAAATAGTTTTCTATTTTTAAAAATAAAATATAATACAAATTTGAAATTTGTATCTAAATTTATATCCACACAACTCTGAAGCAAAGTAATCTCCTCCTAAAATAGGCACCTCTCCTGTATAATGCTTGAGCTTTTGGTAGTACTGCTTCATGCTTCCAGTGGTGGTAACACACTTTATATAACGAATATTTGGCCACAATCTATACACAATTCCACCTCAGTTCACCTTCGTAGATTAACCTTATTTTATCAGCCAATTCTGGATGAGGTCCACCAAGTAACTTAGATACAGCTTCCCTAATTGGCACCTCTGAGATTTCATCACTCAAAAATCCACGTCCAAGATCATCGCATAGCTGCTCCCACTTGGACTTCAGAGGACCAAATGCTTTGATAAAATCTATGGCATAAGGGGTTGTAATTCCATTTATATAGTCACGATTCCTAAGGCCACAGAGAAGGTGACAGTACATTTGATGCTCAACAAGAGATCCAAGAAAATGCCCAACTTGATTAGGAAACAGGGAAAAAATATCTAGATTAGCAACAATGGCAGAAATTATCTTAAAGCATTAAACAAAGCAAACACAAGGCAATCCAATCAAATAAATTTTCTTAGCATGCAAATGAATTGAGGGGATGACACCAACCCTCCAATTGGCGTGGTGTGACATTAATCCCTTGCCACCAAACCTTCTCACCATCTGATGAAAGCTTCACTTTCAAGAACTTTGTAGCAAGGCAAATGGCACCTGCCACAATATGATGTGGCTTAAATTCTAGGTAGAGCGATGTCTTTAGCCCAAAGCTATTTTCCATCGTGTGAACAAACCTAACTACAACAATGGAAAGAGAAGTTTGTGGTTTGCATTAAAGGGACAGTTTTTGGGTTTTGCATGCTGAGACTTTCCTTCAAGCCATCGTGAGTGTTCGCTGAAGACGTCCCATGCAATCTCGAGATAATCCGGATCCAATAATGAACAGAATAAACAAAAATTCTTTACTTGAAAGATTTTTTTTTGTTGGAAGTTTTAATTGTCCCAACAGATTTTAGTTGATTGGACACCGTAGGTATAGATTATTGTTAACAGACAACTTATGCACAGTTGCAGTTTCCTCAAAGAATGTAAATGTAACCAGTCGTGGCTTTCCATCAAATCAAGGGATGAATATCGTTTTCTTAATAATACCTTGCTATCTTTGCGGTAATAGCAATTGATTTCAAAGTAATGTTCTTTGGCCTGAACAATGAATTGATTTTTGAGGTATGTCATGACTTGGCTATGGTCACACCCTTTTTTCTTTTGTCATATAACCCTTCATCTCATTAACTTTATCACTTTACAAAACATTGACTAATTTCATATTTTTTATTTTGTCTTTTTTATTTACTTTTTTTTCTTCTGGTTCGTTGTGATATTCAGGTTGCTAAGGATTGTGACCTTGAGCATCTTGAGAAAATTTCACCGAAGTATTATTATACCAAAAATATTGCGGTAAATTTTGCTATGCATTTGTTTTCAAACAAATAAATTTATTTGACTTAAATGTTTAGTAACAAATTATACTTTAGAAATAATTCATGTGTTTTTAAGACTCTCTCAAAAAGTTAATAAAAATAAGAGATTATTTCCTTAAAATATATTGAGCCAACCATACACCTTTTATTGCCAAGTTTTATTTGTTGCCATTAACATACCTTTTTTCATTGTCGCTAAGGCGGTAAGTTCTTTTTCTTTTATTTTTTATTGCCATGTGAATTTCGAGTATAGCTCCCCAAGGATAGAGAGAGTTTTTGTGTCACGATTCTAGGGGGTTAATGGGCCATTTTTCGCGCTCATTGACAATGGCAAGGACTGTACTGTCTTTTTAATCTTTTCTTTGGACTTGACCCAACCCAATTAAGAAGTCGTTAATTTATCCATCTGTTAAATGAAAAGCGAACAAGTAGTAGTCAAATAGAAAGAAAAGAAATGCTTTCCCTTCACTCTTGCGGATGTTGCCGTGTTTTAACATCGATAGCATTCCGATTACAAACCTCACCTTCTCCTTCACTCTTTCTCTCTGCTCCTACAAACTATAAATCTCGTTTTGGCACCGCGAACGCTTGTTCTGGTTTCGCTGGCGACTCAGACTCCGATGAAGAGCAAAAATTGAATTTCTCCGGTGTGCGATTGGAGGAGACTGTCGATAGTAGAATCGGATCTGGAAAAGTTAGACTCGATAATTGGATCTCTTCTCGCATCAACGGCATCAGTAGGGCGCGTGTGCAATCAAGTATCAAAGCGGGACTCGTTCATGTCAATGGCCGTGTGGTTGATAAGGTAATCTCAAGGGCGAGTTCATGCATTAGATTCTGAAGCTGCATTAATATAGTACTGCGAGAAATTGCGATTATGTTTATGCGACTATATCGGTTTGTGTGTGCAAGTATGTGTGGTTTCTCCTAAAAGGAATTTCCAAGTTAATTTGCATTTAACTATTTGAACGCTGCTATGAACTTGCTTCTTTCAGTCCTGGAAGATCCCCTGCTTATGCTTCGTTTATTGATGAATGTGAAATGTGCTTTGTGTTTATAATTTAGAAAATATTTCTATTATATAGATAATGCTCACAAATTGGAGGTGTTTCCTTGTTGACCTTGAAACTACGTTTGTAATACTGGCTTTCTGCCTTTCTTTAACATGACAACGTGTAGTTTCGTGAAACTAAGTCTGTAATACTGACCTAAATAAGGATGACAACGAGTAATATTTGAGTATTGTATCATATATAATACACGACCGGGTGGTATTACATGAATAAACAAAAAATAATACTCGTTCTCAAAGTCATATTCGCACGGGTAGCAACTTTAGAGTTTATCCTTCTATCCTATGAATACATGTATCCATACTTGCATTCATTACCTGCCTTTTATTTAAATGAAATGTGCTTTTCTTTTATTGTACCAGATTTTTGACAAACTAATAAAACAAAATGCCATTTAATACTAAAATAAACTGTGAAAGGTCAACAAAACAAATATCATTAATTAAAAATGTTACAACGTGTTGGATTAAAGAATGATCGACTGCCCTTGAAACTAGTGAAGGTGAAATCACAATGACATTAGACAAAACAATTAGTACAACAGGATTAAGTGTTTTAAAATGAGAAGCATACACTCTCTAACAATTGTGATATGTCATCAACTTAATTGTCTTATTGTATAATATTTTTTAATTTTAGTTTAATATATTAAACGATATTCACTTAGGGAGAAAAGACTTGGTTGTTGTTGTTATTATTAAACGATATGTGTAGGTATGGGGAGGGATGATTATTAATTTTGGTGAACTGTTGTGAGGATATTAATTCTTGAATAAGTAATCATGACTTTTATACTGATTTGAAGTAACTTTGATCTGTTTTATCTTTTGGTAGCTTTTAACAGTGTCCACTCTTCCTCTATTAGTTTGTGTTTGAGCTGCATGGATCAGTGACATCTTTTAATTGGTGACGGTTGAGCAGGTTTCTTTCAATGTCAAAGTTGGGGATGAGATCAAGTGCACAATCGCAGAGTTGCAGAAGTTGAGGGCAGTGCCAGAAAATATCCCTTTGGATATAGTTTATGAAGATGATCACGTGCTAGTCATAAATAAACCTGCACACATGGTAATTTTGAGCTTGAATTGTAAAACTCATCTATCTTTTTAACTCGAGTGTTCCGATCATGCGAGAAATGTTCACAAGGCTTTGTTAATGGAATAGCTAATACTGACATTGACATTTTCATTATTTGGCCTCTTACCTAGGTTGTGCATCCAGCACCTGGCAATACATCTGGGACGCTTGTCAATGGCATTCTTCACCATTGCAACCTTCCAAATTTTGAACTTTCTAAAGAGGAAGCTCTTTCAGATAGAGAAGATTCTGATGATGATTTTGTTGGCCACTGCTCTGAGGCAAGTTCTAGTGAACAGTTACATTCTAGACTTTCTGTGGCATCAGTTCGCCCAGGAATTGTACACAGATTGGACAAAGGCACTAGCGGGTTACTCGTTGTTGCAAAGGTATTTCTTGCATCTTCTACCCTACCACTAGTGCCCAACTACAGCAATGAATGGGAATTCATACTTGAAAAGATTGACATCTGATTTCATACCTCTTATTTGTATGCTTTGATGTCAGGATGAACATTCACATATGAAATTGTCAGAACAATTCAAGCAGCGTACCATCAAGAGGGTCTATGTTAGTCTTACTGCTGGGGTACCCACTCCTGTCGCTGGGCGTGTAGAGGTTCCAGTTGGCCGTGATCTTAATAACCGGATTCGCATGACTGCTGTAGCTGGACCAGTTAATTCTAGAAAGGCCCGCCATGCTGCTAGTAGGTGATTTTTGGTCCTTCTACACTTCATTTATATTTAGTTGTTTACTAAATAATGTGAATTATATTATATGCTTCTGGTCATATTTGACTATTGTGAAAATTGGAATGTATCAATTAAAATATTGATATAAATAACTGGATAATTTTAAACGGGTTTATGTACACATAATATGAACCCCTTACATCACATTACGGTAGTTTTACTTTCTTCCATATGGCAGAATGCCCATGAGGTATATTTAAGGTTTCATAACAAGTACCACACTAGGGGCATGTATTCATCTAAAATTTGATTTCTTACCATCTGTCAGGTACAAAGTAATTGAGATACTTGCTGGGGGCAGTTGTTCATTGGTTGAGTGGAAGTTGGAAACTGGACGCACACATCAGGTACTTCATGATACATAACTTTGGAGAAATGGTACATACATGTTACGATTTCATATCTCACTAATGTGTGAATCAGATTTTTGGAGCAATTGAAATGATAGCTTTTCCCTGTTTGGATACAAGCATCTGAAGATTTATTTGCTGATCTACTTCCTTATGCATTTTTTCTTTTAAAAAGATTATGAGAGAATTACATTTTATTTCTCGGATGGTCTCATAAATTCAACATTAATTTACCTTGTTTGAAACCTTATGGTTGGCCAGACAACTGTCAGTGAACTTATAATTAACTGTCTTTTAAGCTGAAGAAAACGAAAAGGAAAGTTTGTTTTGTGGGTAAAGTGGACAGAACATATTACTGGGAGAGGCTGTGTGAGGTAAATTGGAGAAAACAGAGGAGTGGGGGTAAGTCTCGTGTGCTCTTAATGCAGTATGAGGAGACGATAAATATGATTCTTATATTAGGTTATACTGCAATTGAAAATTTGGAGGTAGGGTTTGTAATTTGAATTTATTATGTAAAAAATTATAATACCAGTCCTTAAAACTGATTTTAAATAACTATAACTAGTAAAGTTTTATAAAAAAAAATTTATTATGTTAAAAATATAAAAATAGAATAAATATTTTTTTTATTAAAACTTTCTATTTTCAAGAATTCATTTGATGAAATAAGAAATAATAGAACATGATATTTGAATAAAAATAAGAAACAATAAAAGTGTAATAAATTCTTATTTTATGTTTTTTATATATACTAAAGATAGTAAACTAGATATATTATGCATATAGTATTGTTTATGATGAATTTTTTAGCAAATAAAAAAATTTAAGAATAATTTAAGATTGAATTTTAGATCTTCTTTATAAGCTTTTTATAATGTGTTCTTAATGAAATGGTTCAACTAACATTGTGCAAAGAGCAAAATAAAAATAGAAAGAGTGCCAAAAGAATTGTAATCCTTAAAGTAAAGCAAAAATCAACGTTTTAATAACTTGATCGAGTTCTTTTATCAAAGTGATCTTCCACCAATGTTTTATTTCTTGTACCTTTTGTGAACAATCATCTTTTTCAAAAGTCATGTTTTGAAAATTCATTGAAGTGTCACCTTATTTTGAAATATAGAAATATTTCGATAAAAAGTCATGTTTTTTCCTTGGCACTAATTTAATAAAAAAAAATTATCAAAAAAGTCACTTTATTTTCAACTAAAAATCAATGTTTCTTTTGGTCATCACTTTTTCATAAAACTTCTCAAAAAGTGAGAAAACCTTACCAAGGTCATTATTACAAGATTTGAGTCGAAATACACGTTTGAGCTATAAACAAAGCCATAATCATACATTTTTAACCTTTTGTTTTCTGATTAAAATAGGTGAAATACACTTTCAACAAATTGAGAATTTTACTCCGAGCACAAATCATCCCAAAAAGTGATTTGCCAATAAGTGGCAGCTTGGGGAGATCTGGGAGGTATCACCCCAAAAAATTTAAAATTATACACCATTTTTAGATGGATGGGATAGTTGCCAATAATTTTAAGAAAGAAAACCTCATCACGTGTAATTTTTGAAGAATATTCCACTAGATTTTGGTAATAATTACCTCCCAAAAAAATCAATATTTCTTGTTCTGCAGATCCGTGCGCATGCTAGGTATTTGGGGGTTCCTCTGCTTGGTGATGAGGTGTACGGAGGGACGAAAAGCATGGTCTTGTCACTGCTACGACCTCGAACAACCCTGAGTTCGCATAGCAAAATTGTGAAAATGATTTCTAGGCTAGATAGGCCTTGCCTTCATGCTTTGACTCTTGGGTGAGAGGATAACAGCCTACTTGTTAAACCTTGGTTCTCTTCTAAATGCATAATTCATGAAACTTGATAAGGTTTTGCCTATTGTTTGATAGGTTTCAGCATCCCCATACAGGGGAGCAGGTTCACTTTTCATGCGAACCCCCTGCAGACTTCGACGAAATTTTGAGCCAGCTACGGGAAATTGGTAGTGAGAAGGTTTCTTTTTCCAACCGTTCGAATTTATGACGAGGGAGTGATATTCATATTTAGTTAGCAGGTTTCGATTTCTTTTCAAATTAATTCGCTATGCATCTTTTTTCCATACCTATTATCAAATAAAGTAAAATGTTAACATTTGAGGGTTGATTTTAATTATAAAAGTATTTATTATTAATACAATAAATACTTTTTTTTAATAAAATCTTACTATTTTTAGATATATAATATTATTCCTTGCCAATTTGTTTAAATAAAAATCTATATCTATTCATCTATACATTTTACAAATATGGAAGTTCCACGGGACTACCTGTAGCACTGTGCTGCCATTGTTCATCTATACAATTTCTTAATTTGCATTTTATCTGATTTTTCTTTTTCGCATTATTTTTTAAAAACAATGACATATGTAGAAAAAATAAAATAATAATAATAACTTTTATGTTGATTACAATTTTGATCAATACAATCGGAGTATTGTTTTTAAAATTAGATTGCGGATTCAATCAGTAAAAGCATTAGTTCATATTTCATTGATTTATAGTTAAACCAAGGATGAACGGGTGATAATTAATTATATATTTTTAATATAATATAACAGTAATAAATTAATATAAAGTTATATAAAATTTAATTAAATTTCAAATTAACAGAGTTATATTATATGTCCTATAAGATAAAAAATATAATAATAATAATAATAATCTATAAATAGATCTCATATACAAATCTTTATTTATTTTTTAAAAATTGTTTCAAAATTAAAATATTTTAAAAAATAAAAGAGAGAAAAGTGGTTTTTTTTTTTTCTCTTCTAAAACGACCAATTTAAGCTGGTTCTTGACCGGGGTTTTACTGTCCCAATTTCATGGGTAGTCTAGACCGATGACCAAATCAATTTTCAGTGTAATCGGTTGAACTAGCTAGTCTAACTATACAAAGAAAACTTTCTTCAGTTTGGTGTATTTTTAATATTATTTATAGATGTTATATTAAAACATTCTATACTATTCTAACAAGGTCCAGAAAAGAACTTCATACTTTTCAGGTGTAAGCAATATAATCTAATTTTGGGTCATAGCCTTTTGAAATGAAAAAAAGGGCAACCTTTAGACCAAAAGACAAATTTTTATCAATATTGAGCATTAGGAATATAAAAGCCTGAAAAACACCAATCAAAGTAATGGCTGTTCTGTTACCCCGCTCCTGTCTTAATCGTTTTACAAATTTTGGTTCGCAGCTCGGGTGAAAAAATAAAAGAAAAGTTTGCTTGCCGTGTCGACCATTTCACATTATAAAACCCTTGGTTAGCCATTCCATCATTTGGTCCAAATATTAATATTTTACTATGGAGTTTTACTGTAAAATTTTTAGTTGACATAACTGCACATTCATTTCGATTGAAAATTGTTTGAACTACCAATTTCCATTTTGTAGCATAATCGGATACTTTAAAAGAGACAAGCTAAAATTAATTCAGTAATGGCTCTCTATACAAGTAATGATATGGCGCGTAGAAGAGTATACTTTGGTCTGAGGGTGTTTACATTGTATACTTAAGGATTTCAAAATATTGATTTTGAAATCCTTAAGATACGTAGTTGCCATCATATTTTGAATTTTTGACATCATATTTACTTTTTAAAAGTAAGTAAATAAGCAACTTACTTTTAAAAATATTTACACCCAGTTTAGGTTACCGTTTACCTATTCGAATTAATCCTTAAAATATATGATTAATTTTGAGGCTTTATAATTAAATTCAAGAATAAAATTGTTGATGCTACGTCCAACTGTCCCTATTTAATCTATGAACAAATTTTCTGAAACTTCTATTTCCACGCCTTTTAAAACTGTATCACTTTTATTAAAAATAAACATGTTCCAGGATTAGAAATGCTAAGCGGATGGAATGTTACGTAAATATAAAATAGTGTAGCAAAACTATCGCAATAGTTTGAATAAACAATCAATTTCATTTCATTTATTAGAAATTCTATAAAATATAAATAAAATAAATTTTTTCCTTTTCTTCATTAATTTCATTTTATTCCATTTTTTTTCTCGAATTTTTTAACAACAAAACAATATCATTTCATTTCCCTCATGTTTCGTCCTGGCCAAAAATTTTAGATTTAATTCTTCTAAAATAAGAAATTTACTATAAATATCATGCATGTATACATTTAATCACAATAATAGCCATTAAGACACTAGTTAAAGTATTAAAAATAGAATAATTTAAAACAAATGTTATTTATGCACCTCTTGATGATTTTCAACGCATTTCAACGTGATTTTTAATAAAAATTATATATATATATATATTTATTTATTTATTTTTTTTTATTTTTTTATTTTTTTTTTGCTATGCCCCTAAAAAAATTGGCATTTGTAATATCGATCAATGACTAATCAAGTTTATCAGGGGATAAATGAAGATTATCCACTAGAGAAAAAAATTTTTGGTCTGTCCAATGGTTGAAGTCTCCTACTATCAGCCCATGATATTGGGTGATTGCTTATCAAAACCGAAACGAATTTGTACAATATCTCCTTTATAATCCCTCAATTTTTGAGATGATATCTTTCCAGGTTGCCCTCTTTACACTTATTTTCAGTTGCTGAGACTGATAAGAATCAAAATGGAATGGCTGAAGCTCATTATCTAACCCGTTGCCTTAAGCCTAACCCTACCTTTATTTTCTCATGCAAATAAACCAAAAGTGAAATCCAGGGAACCAAAGGGCATAAAAAACAGAAAAGGATTGATAACAGCAAGACACCCTACGATTTAATCATACTTAAAATAATATCAACTTTAAAAAATAAATTCCATAATAAAAATGAAAGTAAGGGAATATGCTTAAATAAATGCTATAACTTTAAAACATCATAAATTTAATTTTAATCATTGTTATAAATCACACGGTCTTATTAGCAAATGGCATTTACAACAATAATAATAATGACTGAAAGACACTTTTCAAAGGAAGAAACAACACATGATTTATGATAAAAAAAAAATACACCAAGAACGTAGGAAAAAAGAGGATTTTGCACAAACTAAATTTGATTACTTCTCCAAATGTGTTTTACTTTCTTTTGTGAAACATAGCGCATTCTCAAAAAGTTAATTATGATCAATATACTAGCCTTTCAGTATGTTAAATTACAAATGTATCTCTACCTGTACTCTAACACATCTTTTCCGAGTAAGCCTCTTTCCTAAAGACATAAAAACTCTATAAGACCAACAGATATATCAATTCGGATCATTACCTGAAGGTACTCCTTTTTCCCATGGCAATGCCAAATTAACTATCCATTAGCAAGGGAAGCCGATGTGTTTATTCAACATATGAAGAAAATGCTGGCATACCTGAGCAATGGAAAACATCACTAAGTAGCATAAGGTGTGAATAGGAATGCATGGAACCTGTGTTTCTTCAATTCAAGATGCAATGAAATACAAACCATGTACCACATTAATCCTGTAAATATAAAACCATCAGGTGCTCAATATATCTGACGTAAATATGTTAACTGAGTAGGTTCAATGGTCCACCAATCACAGTAAGGTGCTCCCGTGGCTAGTGTGTGACACATTCGTATATATGATGATGTGAGGCATATGCTTACAATAAAAGGATAGTAAAGTTTTTAGTGAAACAAAACAGGGCACTTCAGATTAATCACAGCAACAGAAAACCAATAAAATGGTCACTTCAAAATATTATTTTTCAAACTAATACATTGAAATTTTAATTTTGGATAACAAAAGAAAATTTCATTAATAACAGAAATGCGTACTAAGATATTTGACATGAATTCAAACTTAGCTGGCAATGGAAATTTTACAAATGAATTTCTCTTTGAATTTTTCATCTTTAAATTATTTACCCCTATTTTAACAGAACAAGAGGTTTGTCCTTAGTCTCTAAAAGTACCTGCAAAGTTGATGGCCTAAACCTTGTACTCATGAAGATGCATCCACTTTGTTGAAGACCATTTATTTCCTCTAATTACTGGGCAACCACCTGCAAGCAAAGATAAATTAATTAACTTTAGTAATCAAGGATTTCTTGGAACCAAACGAAATTGAATATAAAATAAAATGTCAGGAGGCTTTTAATTTCCAGCGGTAAGGAAAAAGGATGGAATGACCTGGCAAGAATATTCTCAACATATGGTCCACACTCCATACTTATTATAATTTTCCCAGAGGGCTAAATAGAGCAAGCATGCAGCGGATAACAGAAGCAGTAAATATATGGACTAAATGTAGAAAGATGGCTCTTGATTAAATGCGGTAAAAAAGGATAAATGTGAACTTGACATGTTATAGTGACAAAGTCTGCAATTACATCCGGTAACAATTTTGAACCGTTTCTAACCATGTAAACTAGATGGATCAAGAGTAGCATCTGGCCTCATGCTCCAAAATAGCAGCGCATCACCCCTTTTTGGTTTCACAGATAGACCCTTTCTTCCACATTCAGATAAATCATTCCACCATGACACAGAACTAAAATTTGCCTTGGCAGCAGGAAATATAGTCTCACCACCTTCTTCAACATCTGAACTGCATAAGTAGCAGAAAAAAAAATGAAGGGAAACATAAGGTTTCTACCCAAAAAACGTTGGAAAGCACAATGCAAGACCATAATTTGGAAAGAGAATGAGAGCTTACAGGTACATAAGAACTGTAGCAATACGTTGGCCTCCATTCTTAGTGTTGAACTCATCAAGGAAGTAATCATAGTGAGGCTCATATTTTTGCCCTACTTCATAGTGAAGAATCTGAAGTCCTTCTCCATTCTCTGAATATTTTTAAGTTAATTGAAAGTAAATGAGTACAAATTTTGAGCACTCAAGCATACCCATGGATAGGAAGTGCTATTAGAAAACAGAGAATATGTTGACAAATACAAAGTATTGAAAGCAACTTAGGAATTGAAGCATAATGTATCCATAAAAACTAGCCATGGGGTTCTGCAGAATCCTGTGTTCTAACCCCAACAGGACCACTTGCATTTTCCATTCCCTTCAAGGACCTCCCACAAGTCATAGATCTCTGATTGTAGCCAAAAATAAATGTGCTAATACAGGCCAGGAATCAGTTTCTCAGAGCACTTGCATTAATTTAAATAATAAATTTTATTATGAACTGGCTCATGACCATGTAAGAAGAATACCAGCAATTTCTAACATTTTAAAGTACTCTGTTTCTCTCTATCTCCTATGAACTGATCAATTGCCTTCTGGTACAATATCATCATGCTATTCTTTAAAATTTTATTTTATTGCTATAGCCTATAATAATATATGGAGCTGAAAACAGTTATAATCTGTTATGAAGCTAGAAATCGAGTATAAGAATCTGGAGAGAGAGATGAAGATTACAACAAAGAGGAGAGAATTCTCCTCTAAGGGTTTCCCCTTTCTACAACTTAGTTCCAAAATGCTAACAAATCTGAATACATTTCCTCCTATCACAGGTCACTTACTCGTTTACTTTTTAAGGAAAGTCCGTCTCCCTCCAATTATATCTAATTAATTCTATAACTGTTTGTAACTAACTCTATAACTTCCTGACTTCACGAGTCCTATCAAAATCCATCCTCCCAACCTTAACCCTCATTCTGAATAGGGAAATGCAGGCAATAGGTCCATGGGCCAACACGTCAGTTAACATGAAAGTTCGTCTTAAGTATGATTTTTAGGTATTATGTTATATGCAAATCTTTTGAAGTAATTTAATAAAAAATTATGGTTCTGCTTAATGTTAAATGCAAGCGATTCATATATATACCTTTTGTGGCACTGTTGAACATATCAAACTAATTAAAATATCAGATAAAAGGAAAGAGATACAGTTCATACCTACAGGTATGAAGGTAAAGTCAGCAATTCTTTTTTCTATATTTTGGACAATTTTGTCCCTTCCTCTCTTCAGAAACATTCCTGAACTAGTTCGAACCCTACAAGAAGGAGATATCTAGAATAATGCATTGCCAATATTCTCATAAAAAGTATATGAACAAAAATGCAATCAACAATTATTGAATCCTTTACAACAAAATAATACAAAGTCAAACCTGCTTTCTGTACTCTTTCCAGTCTTGCTATCAACAACACTTGATTTTACCATATAAGGCTTGGCAAGTTCAATCAAGTATTCACATTCTTCTTTGGACTGTTCCAAAAATAGGCAGAATCAATATTTCATACAAATCCTCCTAATTACTAAATAAAGAAAATATTAAATATATTTTGTCTTCAAGATAATAAATACATGTATTTTTTCATTTAATACTTACTTTATAAATTAATAGGAGGATTATTAGAAAGAGTAGGAGGAGGATATAGCAAAGTTTGTTCCACCTATGAACACATGAATTTTCTGTTATCATAAATTATCCACAAGAACCTCTATCTTAATATAATTGAGTCTTCCCGGAGCCTAGTCTCTTGCTTACAGAAGTTTCGAGTGCAATTCTACGATTTTCCTTGCCACAGACGCAGCATTAGAGATGCATAACTCTATTCTATACTTGAACAACTTAATCATACATTAATGGAACAAAATATGCCCGATCTCAACGGTTCAACAAAATTTCACGAGCCAAGAACACCGTGTCGCATCAAACAAAAGTTTAAAATACTCGCAGAAACTAACTTCTAACAATCTCCAACAAAATTTGTAAAAAAAATAATAAATGAATAAATAAACGAGGAGAAGCAGATCCATAAGCAGATGACGAAAACTGACCAGGAAATTGTGATAGACGAAAGCTCTCGGCTCCCAGGAGAGAATTTCCGTCCACTGTTCCTGCTTTTCTACCAAACTCTCACCACTTCCCAAAGCAATAATCATGAAAGATTAAACAAATTTGCACGCAAATCGAAATCAAACAGAACAGAGTAAATGTATATCATAGCACCTTTGAGAGGTCTTGCGCCTGAAGGCACTGAGATCCGTGGTTGGAGAATCGTCATCGGTAGTTGGAAGATAAATGATCCCGAGAGCAAGGAGCACGACGAGGATAAGTGTGAGCAAGAGAAGCATCCACAAAACCAGCGTGAACATCGACCATCTCTTCCCCTGTGCCCGTGCGTGCGAATGCTTTCCTTTCGCCATATGCTTGTTGCTTGAAAGATCGATGAATTGAATTCGCTCCAAAACCCTAAACGATTAACCAACGATTTACCCAGTCGGAGTTAAGTTAAACAAACAAGTCCTCAGAATCATGTTGTCACGACTTCATTGACTCCAGTGCCTACTTCTACTTAATAAAATATTTCCCGGGGCTAATATCACGGCACCTTCTGTTTTATTTGTTTTGTAAATAAATTTAAAATATAAAATCAGGATGCAGTAGCGCTGTGCCGTTGTCGCCTCGTGGTTGTGCATACTGTAGTACCAGTAACGTGCTTTTCTAATAAAAGTACAGTAACATTTTTTACTTTAATTTAAAAAGTGGAATGTTACGGTGTTCTTTTCTTTCAGCTGTCCCAAAAAACAATAGAAAAGAGTAAGGAGATTTGTGGGTGTTGAAGAATGTGCTGGAACGTTATGTACTTTAGTTTTCTATATGTTCCTATATATTTTCTTAATTCAATTAAAATACATATATTTATTATTTTAAAAATATTTTCATTAAAAAATAAAAGGTAGAAATACATAGCATTATTCTTAGAGGTAGAGCTCGTATCTTGTAAGACACCTGCCTTTGCTTTTGACTTTGACCTTCCTGACACAGACCACGCCCATGGTATGCAGCCTGAGGCTAAAAAGAATAAATTCTAATGATTAATAAAATAAATAAAGTTTCGAAATATTAATTTATGCATAAATAAAAAAAATTACATCTTTATAAAACTTTTAGAGTGACTAATTGAAAAATTTATAATTTTTTTTCAAGACCATGATAATAAATAAATTATTTTCAGTAAACGTGAATAACAAAATATATTTTATATTTTTTTATAAATTTATTCATAATAATTTTACGAACATTGAAAAAAGAGTATACTAAAAATTACCTGAATATTTATTTATTAAGAAAATATATATTTTTAAAATATTGCAAAAGTTTTTCTTTCTTACTTTCTTTTTGGTGGACAAGCTTCCCTTTCGTTTTCATAAAGTAACTTCCGTTCTTTATGGAAGCCCAATATGCATTTGTATCGGCCCTGGTCCACAATTACATTCTTCTCCCTAAGTTAACAAACGGCCCGCGTTAACAAAAAAACGAGCGGTACATCAGTAATCCGGCGGGGCCAGTGTATTGGCATTCTGATTCGCCGCCGTTGTCAATAACCAAAGTCACGTTCAGACACGAAGTGAGCTCTGCACCACGGCGTTGCTGAACTGAAGCCCGAGTGATTCCCTTGAACCTTGCATTACCGAACAGCACCATCCATGGCCTTCAGCATATCAAGAGCACGCTTGCGCCGCACTCTCTCACCCCTCTTACCCCGTACTTGCAGACCATATTGTTCTTCTTCAGCCTCAGTTCCCGAACCTCCTCTTCAACACGATACAAGCGAGACTTCCCAAACCAGTGAAAGCATTAATAATCCCACTCCCGAAGAAACCCTCATAGTCGACGAATTCCATGCCGCGATTAAAGACCACTACTGCAGAAACCCCATTTCTAACCCTAACGCCCCTCCCCCCTCTCCCAACCTAACTATACCCGATCTCTCCTTCGATCTTTCTAGAATCTCCGCCACCCACGCGCTTTCTCCTTCCATCGCGCGTCGAGTCATCGAGAAATGCGGCGGTGTCCGTCACGGCATCCCTTTCCTCCAATCGCTGGCGTTCTTCAACTGGGCCACAGCCCTCGACGGTTTCCCCTCTTCTCCTGAACCCTACAACGAAATGCTCGACCTCGCCGGAAAACTTAGGCATTTCGACTTAGCGTGGCACTTGATCGATTCGATGAAAGCTCGCGGCGTTGAAATAACCGTTGAGACGTTCTCTGTTCTCATCCGAAGATACGTGAGGGCCGGATTGGCTGCGGAGGCGGTGCACGCTTTTAATCGTATGGAGGACTATGGTTGCACGCCTGATAAGGTTGCATTTTCAATTGTGATTAGTAGTTTATGTAGGAAGAGAAGAGCAAGTGAAGCACAATCGTTTTTTGATAGTCTTAAGAATAGGTTTGAGCCTGATGTTGTGGTGTACACTAGCTTAGTTCATGGGTGGTGCCGCGCCGGTGATATATCGAAGGCTGAGGAGGTGTTCAGGGACATGAAGATGGCTGGAATCAAGCCTAATGTTTATTCTTATAGCATTGTAATTGACTCGTTGTGCCGGTGCGGACAAATCACTCGTGCGCATGATGTTTTCTCAGAGATGATTGATGCAGGTTGTGATCCTAATGCTGTTACTTTTAATAGTTTGATGCGGGTTCATGTCAAGGCTGGACGGACTGAGAAGGTCTTGCAGGTTTACAATCAAATGAAGAGGCTCGGTTGTCCTGCTGATACAATTAGCTATAATTTCATAATAGAGAGTCATTGTAGAGATGAAAATCTTGATGAAGCTGTGAAGGCTCTCAATTTAATGGTTAAGAAAGGGGTTTCCCCTAATGCGTCCACTTTCAATTCGATTTTTGGGTGCATTGCTAAGTTACACGATGTAAATGGTGCGCATCGGATGTATGCTAAAATGAAGGAACTGAAGTGTCAGCCCAACACGTTGACTTATAATATATTGATGAGAATGTTTGCTGCCTCAAAATCTACAGATATGGTTCTGAAAATGAAGAAGGAAATGGATGAGAATCAAGTTGAACCTAATGTGAATACTTACCGGATTTTGATTTTGATGTTTTGTGAAATGAAACACTGGAACAACGCCTACAAGCTAATGAAGGAGATGATTGAGGAAAAATGCCTAAAACCAAATCTATCGGTTTATGAAATGGTCTTAGAGCAGCTGAGGAAGGCTGGACAGTTGAAAAAGCACGAAGAATTGGTGGATAAGATGGTTGCCAGGGGATTTATCACTCGCCCTTTGTAGAAATACCTTCATCATTCAAATGTGTGGGCTAAATAAGACAACTTCCAATGTGTCATTTACATCATTCACGTGTCATTTTTTTTTAAATTTAGAGGCTCTAATTCATATTTATGTCCTGGTGTAGAATGTTTGGTTTAGTGGGTTAAGATCTTGGATGGAGTTCTTTTCAATTTGATTAACATGAATCCTATGATGGTTAATTTAGTTTATGGGAGACATTTTATGTTCATTAATGAAAAGGCGCATAGGTCCTGTTCATGTTACTGGACAGGGTATTCAATTGAGTACTTATTATCTAATTGCAAGTTTGTCACACTTGTAAGGTGTGAAGTCAATATGGGGTTGTATAAAAAAAAAAAGGTCAATCTTGGGCATTCATAACTGAGACTGAGACAGAGTCTGAAGGTTTCAAATTTCTTTCTTGACTCATCATTATAACTAAAACTACTGAGGCCATTTATTTTTTCTCAACCGCTAAATTTTGCTTTAGAAGTCATGGACTGGTTCGGCTAAAAGAAACAGTACATGGTATGGTATGCACGTTATCTGATGCCAAATTGGATAAGTTCTGTGCCATAATAATGCATTATGCATCACCTGATCATTATTTTGAGTAAGTTATGATTAGGGTCCTGTCAATTCGTTTAGTGTCTTGTTTCTTCTCAGCAGAGTTTGGGTTCGTGCAGCCGAAAGATTTTGGTTTGTTTAGAAAGAAGAGGGAACCACCTTTTTTTTTTATCTACATAAAGCAATCTAGATCGAGTTAGCGAACAACATTTGCCATAAGAGTCAACAACACAAAACTCAGAAACCCATCAGGCAGCAATCAAATATTTATATTATTGGCAGATTCTTTTTCTTTTTCGTTGAAAATATGATTTTGCAGTTACTTGTCACAGACTCGTTATTCACACTGTTCCAGGATAAAGTTCCACGAACGACGTGGATATCAATTATTCACACGTGGAGATAAGAATGTTCAAATTCACCTTATATGATTTGCTGATTTACAAGGATATGCACGTGCTCAATTAGCTGTCATTGTATAAAGTGTAAAATCTTATCACAGTAGAGAAAATGAGAACTCAAAGCCTGTAGGTGGACGCGAACAAGACAAGGAAATCTGTAACTCATTTTGATTTGGGATTTTTATTTTTTTTTTCTACGACCACTGTTGTCATTTACTCGTTAAACCTCCGATTAATTTGGGTTGAGCTGGGATAGGATCACTACATGTAACAAACCCCAGCCAGAAATTTATTCGGAATTGAAATGCCCAGTTAAATTAAAAAGAATTCCTTGACTAAAAAAATTAAAATTAAAAAAATCTCCGTCAATTGAACTATGCACTCAGTAAATCAGATTTTAGTACATATAAAGTCTACGTGTATTACATTAAGGAATATCAATAAAGAAAATTCTAAATGAATAAAAGCATATCTCCTCACATTAAAATAATACAATTTCGCTACAAGTCACCCTTATTAAAACAGGATTATTCCTTTCTTTTTGTTTTGAAAAAATGTGACTTCATTGTTCCTACTAGAGCGCCAAGCTACAATACTATTTTTGTGGTATTGAAGTGTTGTTTAGCTACATTAGAAAAATGTATTTATTAACGCAATTCAGAATCGATACAAAATAAGTTCTCAGATGAACCCCAAATAAATGAAGTTGAAGATAAAGCCTACCTTTTGCCAAGAGATTTGTTCTGACCTTATTTATATCGGTTGTTTAAACTAAACTAAATAATAACTGATATATCATTATTTTAAAATAAAAAATTGTATGACAAAGATTTTTGTAATTATATTCTAAAAATGATAATGCATCATTTATTGATTAATTAGCTTACTTAGGTTATGCATTTTATATACCAAGTGACAGCCTGTGATTCAAGTACGGTGAACGTGATATTTGACAGCCAGACATACAATGTATGTGTACTTGGTACAAATGTTCTTTTCTTCAATCTTGGACATGTAGCTGAAGTGCGACTGAGTTTAGTGTGTGACAAAACTCTAGTGCAGCAGTTAAAATAATATTGGCTGAAAAACGAAATAATGCCCTAGTTGAATGAGTCTGTTTTAATTTGACTTTTCGTACGACGTAAGAATTGAAAATTCATTAAAAACACACCACGTTCAACATTAAGTATCACTTAGAGTAATTATTCTGGTGCGAAATAATCTCAAAACACATAATGCCATTCTAACCATAATTTAAATCACCAAAAAGGTCGTAGTAAAACAGTAGAAGATAATTTCGCATATAACATTAATTATTAGTTTGTTGTTTTTATCGATATATTTATTTCATAAGCATTTAAATTTTTTTATTATAATATATTTTAAAGTATGCATAAAAAGTTATTATAATAAATTTTTTAACAATATATTTTTTAACTTTAACTACATATTTTAAACTATGCATAAAAAGTTTAAACGCGTTTCAAGTTTCAACAACCAATAATTTGAAATCTGATTTCGAACAATTTTATAATAAAATCCACGTTTATGTAGTGACTCTAGTTGTCCTATTTTACTTGAACATTGTCTTCTTCTATCTTATTTTATAATTTAAAAACCACACGCCGCGTTCAGTGATTAGATCAAAACTTAACAAGTCAGAAATAGGCGAAATCAATTGCCCAAACGACACCACAAAATTTACTCCGCAAATTGGAACAGATCTATAAAATTTCATTTTGTTGTACACTTCTCTATATCTCCACTAAGTGAAAAAAAAATTAAAAGATTAATGAAGCAAAAATATTTTAGTAAACTACAGTTACATTTTTAAAATTAAGAGTATTCAAAAACTTCTTAACCTTGTACATTATCTTAAAATGAACAATTATTTTAAAACGTAAGAAATATAAAACCATGTTGGCGTTCTTACAATTTTTATATAATTAGATAAAAATTTCTCATTCATAAATAAATTAAAAAAACATTTTTGTTAAACCATAAAAGCCTATTTCTTACTCTCAAATTGACGACAAAACGACCCCCTGCTACATTAACTGCAACCTGTTTTTTTCCAATTATGACCCAAAAGAATTCCACAAGCTGTTTCGCATTCACAATAAATAATTGTAGTTATCTTGCACCTTAAAAATATTAATAATAATGGTAGTTATTACTATGTGACTTACGTTTATTGGCCGAAGCCAGTAACCTTTTCTTTTTAAGGCCAAGGCACGCAACGTTTTTATTTGACCAAACCCTTTCTCCGTTTCCCACCTTTCTTGACAAAATCAATCATTTAATAACACCAATAGCATAACCTTTCATAAGAGGTACTAGTTCCACCCTTAAACCTTCCTCAACAATCCAAGATATATATAGCGAGTCCACCCCATTATAACTACATAATATCCAAATTCCAACCCTTTATCTTTCACAACTCGCTTGCGTCATGGAGAAACAGCATAAGCTGAAGAACAAACTCTTGAAGGCACTACCAAAAGCAGTGGCAGCAGTCACTGTGACGTTTCAAAACCCTCCATTCAGCCCTGGCAGGGATAACAAATCACGACCAGAGAACACAATCAAGTGGCTCAGACCACATGGCGGCAAGGGATTTTCAGGCCCTATTGTATCCATGATTCCTGACGAAGCTAGAAGAAAGTCTCATGATAGAGGAACCAATGGCATTGATGAAATTTATTATCAAGAACCCACTTCACCAAAAATCTCCTGCATGGGTCAGATCAAGCACAAGAAGAAACATATGAAAAAAGCAAGGGCCATGAGCATGTCCATCCCAAAAGAGACGAAGAAGGTTGCCAACAATACCAAAGACAGAGAGGTAAAGAAGCGCGTGTCCACGTTTCAAAGGATGTTGTTCCATGGAGCGAAGCCGAAATCTGAGGGGAGAAAATCTGATACTTCTGCGCCTCATCAGTATAGTAAGGATGCACCGCACGTGAGTCAGATGAGGCGGTTTTCAAGTGGACGTGAAGCTTTTGCTAATTTTGATTGGAAGGTGGCGCCAGAAAAAGAGGAAAATGATTACTATTCGGATGAAGATAGAGTGGAGAGTGATACTGAAGAGGAAGAGGTTATGATCCCTTTCTCTGCACCAATTTTGGTTGGTGGTGGTGGTGATGTTTGTCATGGGGGTGTGGTTAATTTGAAGCCACGAAAAGAGATTAATCTATGGAAGAGAAGAACCATGGCTCCACCAAGGCCTCTTCAATTGGATCCAATAATTGTTTGAGCAAATTGATTATTTGTTCATTGCAATGAAAATTTGTTCGTTAGATTTTTTTTAATGGTTTTGTCTTGGTTTTGAAACATGTTCTGTGCAGAACTACAGCTACATTTTAATTAGGTACGGCAAACAAATGTAATTGGCCACATGGCGTGATAGGCATGTACGTTATGTTATGTGTAAAATATATGGCATCAAAATTACGATCTGTATCCAAGTTCAAACAAAAGTTGATGTATAAATGACATTCAGGAAATTATCTCTCTCTCCCTTCTTTGAACTTGGAAGATCCAACGTGCCATCAACAGTTGCAGATTTGGTCGAATTAGGTAACTGATTTAGATGCAACAAGGATATGTGGTTGGTCTACATTGACACGTACAAAGCCCGTTTATTTTGTTTTGTTTACAACTCTATGGGCCTGGAAAGGTCATATTTTGTTTTAAAATGTGTGGACATGAAAAGATTCTTTTAAAATTGCTTTTCTGCATTGGAAACTTTGCCTATAAAAAATTACTCACTAATTATAAGAGATTTAGATGTGGTATGACTGGTTTTCTAACTTGCTCTAGGTGTGGGGAAGGTCTTGAAACTATTATGCATATCTTGAGAGATTGCTTCTATGCTCAAAAACTTTGGTATTATTTTATTTTATCTAATCAATGGGTTTAATTTCTTAGTAAAGATTTGTATGATTGGATTTTGTCAATTTTTTCATGTATTTCTATTATGAATTTTCAGAACTAGAATATGTTGTTCGCTGTCACTGTCCAAACTTCTGGAATGATAGAAATGAATTTATATTCTAGAACTTCGTTGTTCCTCTTAACAATTTAGCTTAAAAAAATATTTACGATACTGATTTTTTCTTTTGTTGCTGCAATGACGAAGCCAAATCTTTATCTAAGTTAGCCTTTGATTATGGTAAAGTGATATGGGTTCATCCTCCTTTAGACTAACTGAAATTAAATGTTGATGGAGTTGTATCTAAAGGCAATAGGGCTATTGCTTGTGGGGGCTTGCTTCGTGATAATTGTGATAGATTCATTTCAAGTTTTTATAGTAGCATGGAGTTTTGTTCTCCTAATGCAACTGAGCTATGGGGCATTCTTCAAGGTATTCAGCTGGTGATTAATCATAAGGTGGCAATCATTTGAATAGAAAGTGATTCTAAAAAGGCTATTAGCCTTATCTTGAATGTCTAACAACTTTCTCACCTTTTGTTTCATTTAATTTGGAATATTATAAAAGTTTTAAAGTCTATTAAATTTATTCATGTATACAAAGAGGCTAATCATTGTGTTGATTGCCTAGCTAAGATAGGACTTAATTTATCTCCTATATCTCATTTTGATACTCTTCCATCTTCTTGTCCCTTTTTCAAGTATGGATGCTAACAGCTTGTGATTTGTTTATTTGTTTTGGGTTTTTTAACCCTTTCTTATAAAAAAAAAAAAACCCTTTTATTTTAATCTTTTTAAAAGAAAATTTGCTTTACTTTTAAAATTTTTCAGTTAGTTTGCTTAAGCTTTTGAAAAAAAAATTATGATTATTTTGAAAAGTTATTTTGAATAGATTTTAGAAAAATTAAAATCACAATTACTTTTTAAAATAAAAGTGTTTCATATAATTATAGACAAACAAAAGAAATTTTTTTATACATTTTTTAAATCAGTTTCTTAAAACTTAAGCAAGTGGTCGATAATTTCAGCTTTTAAATGTTATTTAAAATAGTATCTCCAAAAATGCTAAAATAAGATTATTTTTTTTATAAACTAAATTAAATAATTAAAAAAATTGTGAAGTAGATTAAAAAAAACATTTTTATATAAAATAGACTTATGATGGGTTCATAATATATTTAAAAAATTATTTTTAACAATTTTTAAGAGATAATTTTATTTTTTATGTTATACTTAAGTATTAAATTTAAGCTATGATTAATTTTTCTATAAAAATTAACTCCTATTAAAACAGGATTCACACGCACACATATATATTATAGCGTAATCGTGGATTTAAAAGTGCGTTAAAACATGCATTTCTAACACTTTAATTAACTAGACCGGACATCTACCTGTGAAACTCGAAAATGAAAGATTCCCTATAATATTCAATGCTAATAAAAATGGTATTTTTCTTGAGTCTTAAAGCACCAAGCAAAGGTTTGGTACACATTTGTGAAAGATTGTTTTTCAAAATATAATCGTTTTTTATTGTCAAATATATATTTTTTAGAAATTAAATTATAAAAACCACCGAATGAAGCTTTTTTTTTGTTTTTGTTTTTTTGTCGTGATGAATTAAGCTCTTTCCGGCGACCCGTTTCACCAAAAGGAACAAGTAAACTGCTTGTATTTCATTTTTAATAATTATATTGTTTCACCACTTCAACAATACATTGAAAAGAAAAAGTTTTTTTTTTTGTCATAAAAAAAGTTTGTTTCATTTAAATGGGCTTGTATGACTTGCCGCTGTGAAACGCAATCGGCCCATCTCGGGGCATGGCTCAGAATATTTTGAAGTCTAATATGTGCATGACAAAAAAAAAGGGAAATGTTTGTGATTTACATTTATTTTATTGTAGTCGATTGAACATTTAAATAAAACTGTATATTAATTTAATGTGATATTTTTAATATAATTAAAAAATCAAATAATTAATTGTGAATATATGTTACTATATTTAAAAGGTTACTATTTCTAAGGCAAAGTTTATTTATTATATAGAAACATAAAAGGCAGTTTATGACTACTTTAAGGTTAAATTTCTATTTAAAATAAGTATTTTTATGCAATTACATATTTTTTTCTGTAAAATCCATCAAAAAGGGAAGTAATTACTATTTTTATTTTAGTTTAATTTAAAACAAATAAATAATAGCAAGTATATATTTTTGTTATGGCGTATTATTATACTTGAAAAGCCGTGGCCTCTAATATTAAATTTTATACGTATCATGTATAAATTAATTTAACAATTTATGAATTAAATTTAATTAAATATTTCAAAAAAAAAATTTATAATAGAATAATTGGCTGGGTAAATATAAATCTTACGAATGAAGAGTTTTAAACTAATTATTTCATATAAATCTAGACTAATGAGTTGAATATGATCTATATGCATTGAGATTTTAAGTTTTTATATCGTCCTGTTTTACGCATAGGAGAAGTATAAACGATTATAATTAATGATAAATAATGTCTTTCAGTCTTACATGGTTAAAACCTGGAAAGCAACACGTAACTGGTAAAAAGAGTGTGAAAAACTATACTTTCTTACATATTCCGCCCACAGTAACTGTGGCTGATTGTTTTGTTTGAAATGGTGTTTTGGGAGCCGCAAAGCCATGTTTAGGATTCCAAAGTGTAAAACCAACATGTATTAATTGGAATGAAAGAAGCTGACCGGTTAAAGAATTATTATTTTTTAAAAAATAAATATAATAAATGTATCATTTTTTTTATGCAGATAAACACAATGTTCAATAAAAATTTGTTCACTTCTAATGCTATACTGGTTTAAAAGGTTAACTGGAAGAATATATATTGTGACTCTTGTATGTCTATTATTATTTCTATTTTAAATAATATATAAAATATTCTTACTATATTAAGAGAAAAGAAGACATTTTAAATAAAAAACCACTAAAATGAGTTTGATAATACTGATCGTATGAAAGACTACTCTATCTTACACTGGATAAAAGAATAATTTTTGAAACAAAAAGTACCACAAAAGGGTAGTATTAAATCACTTTTAAAATAAAAAAGTTAACCATAAATAATTTTTATTTTATAAAAATAAATCGACCGGCTAAAACCGAAGCTTTGAAGCTGCGAAAGAGGATTGCGTTTGGGCGGTCCAGGAACTATGACCATTCACAATGTTAACAAGTTGTGCCAGTCAATTCTGGAGAGGAAAAAGAGAAGGGGGGTGGTTTGTTGGCGTCACGGGAAGAGGATACGAGTGACTAAAAACGATAGCCAGATCTAAAGCAAGTGGGGACAGATGTCGCGGTACGTGTGGCCCGTCGCCTTCTGGAGTAAAAATCCACGCACAAAGTGACAAGAGTAAAACCAATAAAGCAGCGAAGCACACCTCAAGGCCAGCCAGATTCAGACTCTGAAAGCTCGAACATAACCACGTTACGGTACAACCAGGCTAAAGCTAGCATTAGTGGTCGCCACCTAATCACACGCTAATGTATCCATCTAACATGTGCTCTTTGTATGCAAACTTTCAACATCTCCTTTTCAACTTTACAGAGTCCGGATCTTCGTCCAGTTCCACGACAACACCCATTCATAAATTAATTAAATTAATAATTTCATTCACTAATAAAATAAAATGTCCTTAACAACCAGCACCATAAATCGGAAAATTTTCAGATACTTTGATCCGTGAGATTCGCGGATCAATCAATTCGCCAAAAATAAAGGAGGTCAGGTACTTTCGTTCTTTCTCGGTTTTAATGCAACCACCAGAAACCCTCATTCATATCTCATTCCCCCACCATAACCATAATAAATACTTATACCAGACAATTCATTCCAATCAAAAGCTCACTCTATGCTACTACTCAATAAATGCCATTGAAACAAAATATATCAGGAGACATTCTCAGTGTTCAATCAATACGGCCACCGTCCCAGCAGAGGAATTAAAATTTTAAAAAAGAAAACTAAATTAGAAATATCAAAAACCAAATTACTTCAAGTTCATAGTAATAACAATAAGTTAAATCCAAGAGAAAATAAAAATTATAAAAAAAAAAAAAAGAGAGAGATACTGGAAACAGGGTGCTAGGTTATTGCAATGGTACCCGAAGCTCCTCGACCTCAAGTGTCATAGGGTTTTCTGCAGAGGATCATATGCATCGGAGTGAAAATGCCGGTGTCACCCCCTCTAGTCAAATAGTCAGCGGTCTTGAATAGCATCTCATGAACATCGACGGTACCTTTGGGCGCTATTCCTAAAGCGGCGAGAACAGTGACAACAACGTGGTTCCGCCAGTAGGCGATCCTACCCATCTTCAAGCGGCTCCACCACGGCTGAGCCGGCGGCTTAGCCAGATCCCGCTCCTTAACGACCTCAAAGCCCACCTTCCGAGCCGTCTGGGCTATGTCAGCGTAGCTCCTGAGCCCAGGCAACGCATCCCCTCTCTCAATCCCCTGAATAATCTCCACGTGTTCAGGGTTTTCGGGCCTATATTTTTCCGTCGTGACCCACTCGTAGGAAACGTAGAGAGCCCCAGGCTTGAGAACACGAAAGATTTCCGCATACACTTCCTCGAGCTTTGGCGCGTGACACGTGGCCTCGATGGAGTACGCACCGTCGAAGCTGTTAGCGGGGAAGGGCATCTGGAGGAAATTGCCGCACACGACCTCGCAGAGCGAATCCAGACCCGCTTTCCTGTTGTGCAACCTCGCACGGTTCACCTGGTACTCGTTGATTGTGATGCCAACAACGTTGGCGCGCGAGTGGGCCGCGATGGCACGCATTGGCCCACCCACGCCACAACCCACGTCCAGGATTCTGTCGCCGGGTTTCACTTCGATGAGATCGACGGCCATCTCCTCGTGGAGGCGCGTGGCGTCACGGTGGGATTTCCCTGGGATGGAGGGTGAAAAATGGAAGGACTGGCCCCAACCCCACTCGTAAATGTCAGTTACCAAATTGTAGAAGGTGTCGACAAAGTCTGGGACTTTCTCTGCGGTTTCGATCTCCTTTGGGCGGCGGAAGAAGGACCAGTACTGCTTGTAGTTGTCGCGGACTTTCTCGGCGGAGATTGAACCGCCGGACAGATCGGTGGCCCGTTTGCCCTTTTGCTCGGCGGGGCCGAGGACGCAGACAAACCAGTAGAGGCCGCCGGCTAGTAGGGCTCCGGTGCAGAGAAGAGAGAGTGAGTCCATTGAGAAGCGCTTCACTCTCAGTGGGGTTAAACTAGTTAGGACTGAGGAGGAGGAAGTGTATTAGTTAAGTGAAAACAATTGGTCGCTACTCTCTCCTTTTATTCCTTTTCTGCCTCACTCCACGTGCCTCGCGCGTGAATTCTGCTTCATTTTCTTAATTTAAACAACCATGACAACTCAAGCCACCACGGACATAAATTATAATATTAAAATAGTTTAACAACTATAGTGAAGTTATTCGTTTGAATATTTAATATTGTCTATTAAATTCTTTGACTGTGTAAGTAATTTAGTATTACTAATACTAGTAAATATGTTTATGCATTTCACGGGTTTATTTTATTTTTATTAAATTTATTTATTTTAAAATATAAAAAATATAAATATAATAAAAAAATTATTATATTAAATATAATTATCTTAAAGAAAATTATAAAATACTTTTTTATATATAATATTTTTTATATATTTTTTATATAAATATAGTATATTTAAGATTTGATAATTACTTTTAAATATAATTTTTTTTGTGATATTTATATGTCTATCTTTGTAATTTAATATTTGATATATCATATAATTTTATAAAAAAATTAATATTTAGTAAACTTAATTTAAATATTTTTTAAAAATAAAAATAACAATTTTAAAAATATAACATAATAAATAATTATATTAATAAAAAATATTTGTATTAAATTAATATTTTTACGTATAATATCTGTATTTTGATTTATATCCTGAAAACTAACTTTAAATCCACAAACTGACAGAATTTTTCCATTAAAAAACATGGTTATCTATATATTATAACACTAAAAAAATTACAATATAACATTATCATCATTATAACATTTTATAAAAAAAATTACAACAAAATTATTAAGTAAAAATATTGTTAATTTTATAATTTAAAAAAAATAAATTTGTTATTGTAATGATTATAATATAAAATATAAATAAAATATTATCTACATTAATAAGTTATATATAATTATGATAAGTCAATTCCTACTAAATTATTTAAAAAAATAAAATAATAGCAGTAGAGAAAAAAATAGTAGTTAAAAAAAAATTATTTAAGATTTAGGTAGAAACTAAAAGAAAATAATAATTTTATTTAATATACAAATTAATCTTTATATCAATTAAAATTACAGATGTTGATATAATATAAAATTTATGAGTCACATATAAAATTTAAACAAATTTTATGTTAAGAACAAAGTTAATACATAATATATATAATAATAAAATAAGATATATATATATATATATATATAATAAGATAACAAAATTATTTTATAAAAAACTTAAATGTTTGATTATATTTTACTTTTTAAAGTCTGCATGATGTTAAAAGTATTTATATAATATTACAATAAAAATAATTTAATCTTCTAAATCTTTTGTTATTGTCTTTTATTCACCATTTTATGCTTCATCTTCATCAAGTTACGACCTAAAAGAAAATATCAAATATAAATTATTGTATGATCTAAAAAATTTAAACAATACATTACAAATTTATAATTTATACATTAATTTTCTCCTTCTTTTTAGTTTGGTGTTTCCACAATTGGAGATATAGATTTGATATAATTATTTGTTGTTGAATTTAAATCGTTAAGAAAAGTTTATTTATCTTTATTGCAACTTGTTGTTCTCTTACAAAAGCATGAATAATAGTAACAGATTTGATACAAATTAATCTGTTAAAAATAAAATTCAATACATAATATTATTTAAAAAAAATACAGCTTTATGCTTGCTCAAAAAATTAAATTAAAATATATAACACAATTTAGTGAAACAAACTAAAAATATCAAACTCAAAAATACATGTACTTACATGGGTAGATAATTTTTTACAGGTAACATTATTGTAAAATACAAAAAAAAAAGATGACAATAGAAAAAAATGTGAGCAGTTTTCAAAAGTTGTATGATCTAATATAAACTAATAATTATGTAAGTATAATTTTTTTTATTTTAAAGTAAGTTTTAATTTTTTAAATATATATTAAACTATATATTATATTAACACAATTAATAGAATAATTTAAATTTGTAAACTTGTCTTTTTATTAGAAATTTAATTTAACAATATATATTATAAACTAATAATTTGATAAATGTAGTATTTTTAATTGAAATTACAATTTAGTATTGTTAATAAATATTAAAAAATAGATTATATTGAAATATCTAATAAAATAATTTAAATATGTAAAATTGTATTTTGATTAGAAATTTAATTTAACAATATATAATATAAATAAATACTTTTATAAATATGTTTTTTATTTAAATTATATTTTAATATTTGAAATACATGTTAAAATATAGATTATGATAAACTAATTAATAAAATAATTTAATATGTAAATTTATCTTTTATTATAAATTTAATTTAACAATTTATAATAAAAGTAATAATCTTATAAGTGTATTTTTTTAATTCAACTCATACTTTAGTGTTTGAAGTATATATTAAATTATAAATTATTTCAAACTTACGAATCAGATATAATTTTAAATCATAAATTATGAAAAATATTATAATTATTTAAAAAATAATAATTTTCTATTATTATAATTATGAAAAAGACAATTGTAAATTATTTGAAACTTTAGTATTATGATCTTTTTTTATTTAATTCAACTCATACTTGTCTTTTATTATAAATTTAATTTAACAATATATATTATAAATTAATAATTAAAAAAACTAATTCTTGTGACATTACTTAATAATTTTTTTTAAGCATTCGTTCATTTTTTAGCTAATTGAGTATTTTCTATTACAATAAAAAATTATATTAAACTAATTAATAAAATAATTTAAATATGTAAATTTGCCTTTTATTATAAATTTAATTTAATAACATCTATTATAAACTAATAATTTTGTAAGTTTAATTTTTTTAATTTAAAATATATTTTAGTGTTTGAAATACATAATGAAATATAGATTATATTGAAATATAATAATAATTTTAATTTGTAAATTATGAAAAATATTATAATTAATTTTAATAACTATAATTTAAGCTAATTTATAGTATAAATATTTATGTTGCCGTTTGTAACATAATATAACCATCAATACTAATAAATATTCTTTAAATACAATTCAAACTATTTATACTAATAAATAGTATGTATGTAAAATGATGACGTTTGTAACGTAATATAACCATCAATACTAATAAATATTATTTAAATACAATTCAAACATAATAAGTGTGAATAAAATATTATTTTAATTCATCAATTATATGTTTTAAATTTTAATATACAAAGTAATTAAGTGAAGTCAATGGGAACGATTTTATATGTTCTGAATTTTAATGTATAAAGTAATAAGTAGATGAAGTTACGTTTCAAAATTTAATACACTCAGTAATAAAGTAGGTGTAGTCAATTATATATATATATATATATATATATATATTATGTAATAATAAATTTGCTATCTATTTAGTATTTAATTTTTTTAACTTTTTTTTCTAAATTAACATTAAATAATCTTCTATAGTAAATTTTTTAACGTTGAATATTTTTTAAGATGTTAAATAGATATTGTTTTAACTTAAAATTTGAACTTTATTATTCTTTATATTTTTTATGCAAAATTAATAAATTTATTTTTTATTTGCTTTTTTCTGCATTTTTATCTTTTAACTTTGTATCGTCTAACTAATTAGTCGTTGCTATTATCTTCATTCAACTTAGTTAACAATGATAATTATGATACTAACTTTTTTTCTATTTGCCTTCATATTGTTAGAACAAATTCTCATGAAAAAAGAGAAAGAAAGAATGAAAGCCTCAACATTTAGCTCATCCTTGTTTTTTTCCCTCAACGTGCCCCTCTTTCCTCCTCTCTCGTGGCTATCTTTTCATAACTGTTTCTATCTTCTTTGCCTTCGAGTGCCCCTTCCAATAAAATTGCAACATGCTTTTCCATGGTGTGACCTAAATGGCCTTTTGTGTTCAACTTGATTGAACCTCTGCCTTTAGTTTAGATGGGATTTAGTTCTTCCAGTAAAAAATGTGTAGAATGTAAAAATAAATAATTAATTTATTGTTAACTTAAATTAAATTAATTTATATATAATTTTAAAATAATATTAAATATTTTTTATTTTCTTATTTTACATAACTTTTTTACTTTTAAAAGTCAAATCCCAATTAAACAAACATCTTTCCATAAATATTATTGCAGTGATCATCATAATGTCCACTTTCTAAATTTTCCATTCCAAATGTCCAAACATTCAATTCAACATGCTAAAACTCTTATAAAATCCAAAACAATGTGATGTTTCCACCTACCTTCGTAAAGCACCTTTGTTAAAATATCAATAATCACACTCAGATAAATCAATCAAAGCTCTAACACACTTCATCACCAACTCCATCAAACTAAAACAATCTTATTCAATGTAGCCTAAACTTAGCTTGAATTAAAAAATTTCTTTACTAATCTACATCAGTAAGAAATTAGATTCATTAACCTCCTTGAACAATCTTGTTTACTACAATATTGTCTATTCACTTGTAACTGGCAATGTCAATTTATCCTCTGTCATCGCAATCGACTCATAATGTATATAGATCTCTGTAATCCATGATAAAATGGTAACTTTGGCGCTTTCTACAAATAAAAACATAAAAAAGCACATTTAAATAAACTGATAGTTTGCAAGCTAATTAAGAAAGCATCTTATGAATTATTTGGGACGAGTTTTGAAAGAAGATGGAAGAAAAAGCAAATTTTGTATTTAAATTAATATATTTAAAATTAATATTTTTTATGATAAAATATATATATTAATATAAATTTAAAATATTTATTATTATAAATAATATATTTTTAATTTAAAATTAAAAAATATTATTTTTTAATATAACTTTATAAACATTTGTGACGAAGTTAAGTAGATTTAATGAAAAAATAATAATTTTTACATCAACATAAATTTCGAGAACCATTTAAATATATATATATATATATATATATTACTTGTACTATATAAAAAATAATATTATGAATAA